AAATGCAACAACAAACCTTTATTCGTGTAAGTGGGGTCAACTACATGACTCCCTTTCTCTATTGTCTTATTGAGAGTCGTATTTTCATTTAATTCTAATAAATTAAGGTCATTTTGTATACAACATGTCTAAAATTTTTTAGGTATACTTCTACCTTTGTTAGTATGATTCAAATCTAAACCATCTACTCTTAACTTAATCATCAGATGGTCAACATTTAATGTAACCGAACCCAACTAAGACGACACTCTAATATTGTCTGCCACTAGAGTTATACCAATCATTTCATGGATACATTTGTTTCACATTTTGTCTCTAAGTGCAAGCCACATATCCACCTTAGCATTCCCATTTCAACAATACTTACTTTTATACTTCTCTTTTATAGGTCAACATTTTGCTCCATAAAACATTATAGGTCTCACCATCATCTTATAAAATTTTCCTTTAACCATAAGCGACACTTTTCTATCACACAATAGGCCTGATGCATTCCTCCACTTCAACCATCCAACTTGAATTCTACCATTAACATCCTCATATATATTATCATCACTTTGAATAATAGACCCGAGATATTAAAATGTTCACTTCTTTTAATGATTTGATCACTCAATGTCATAAATTTTCCGCTAAATCTACTACTACTAAAATTACATTCCATATCTAAAGCAAAAAGATATGGGCTTAAAGCTAATCCCTGATGTATTCCAACTGAGATAAGAAAATTCATGGTAAACCCTCCTTTTGTTTGAACACAAGTAAAAACTTAAGTATACATATCTTTAATGACTTGAATATAAGTCATATCAACAATTTTTTTTTTCTAGAACCTCTAAAGGACTTCTTTTGGAACCTTTTCTTAAGCATTTTCTAAATCAATAAAAATCATATGTAGATTCTTCATACTCTCTTTGTACTTCTCCATCAAACCTCTCAATAAATGTATATCTTCCATGGTAAACTTACCCAGCATAAATCCAAACTAATTATGAGAAAATTTTGTATCATGTCTTAACCTATGTTCATTTGCTCTATTTCATAATTTAAATGTATGATATATTAACTTAATTCTTATATAATTTGCACACTCGTGCATCCCCATTATTCTTAGAAATGGGTAATAAAATATTCTTCCACCACTTTTTAGGAATCTTTCGAGGTTTTAAAATAATATTAAAAGATTGAGTAAGCAAAAAATCTCAAATCTCCTAAATAAGATACCATCAAGTACTGATGATTTTCCACCTATGATTTTCTTTAAAGACTCGTCAACTTCTTTTTTATTAATGTGACTGTAAAACTAAAAAGTTTTGTTATTATTATTATTAATATTATTATTAAGAATATTAAGATCCTAAAGATTGATCATATTTTCAAATAAAATAAATAATATAAAAAATAAAAATACTACTAATCATAATGTTTGTATAAGGGCGTCACTACGGTTTTGACTTAATAGTCATACACTCACTTCAAAAAGACCAATAGAGAGAGATCAAGAGAGAGTAGGGGGTCGAGAGTGGGAAAGAAGGAAGAAGATAGAAGAGAGAAGAAGAAAGAAGTCACCGTTTGTGTGCATGGGTGGCTTCGACACTTGCGTAGTCGAAGGAGGTGACGTTTTGCCCTAATCAGAGGAAGGAGACAGAAGGAGGAGGCGGTGTCCAGTGCGAGCAAAGGAAGAAGAGCTCGAGCCCTAGCGGAGGAGACTATGCTCTGCATGGGTGTGTGTGAGGAAGGAGGAGGAAGAAGGGAAAGTTGGGCCTCACATGCATATAAAAGAGGAAGGAGGCGGCTTGCGCATGAGGGGCAGAGCCGAAACTCTAAGCATGTGGCTAAACAGAAAGGTGAGTTAAGGTTTTATTAGGTAATTTAATGAATTTTAAAATATGTATGTGTACTTAATTTATGTTAATAGTCAGTTTTAATGAATTAGGGCTCATGATAAAGAAATTTCAACTTGGAGGGAGATCGATCCGAGAAACTAATAAGGTAATTGTTAATGTTATTATTGTTATTAGAATAAATGTTATTTTTACTTAAATTAATTTTATTAAATTTCATATAATTAGGAAGTGTGGAAGAAGTCTATTTGTTTTCAAATTAGTAAAAGAATGATGATATGGTGGAGTGGAGGAATGAACTCTACAAAGGTTGCTTAAAGGTTAGGGTGAGTAATTATTTTTTATATGTATTAAATTGATGTTACATTTAATGAAGATTTTCATTTATGCTTCACATACCTGCTATTATAATCATATGCATCTTATAAGTTAAAAGAATCATTAAATGAATGCAATGAAAAAAGAAAATTGATTGTTTAATGGTTTTAGAAGAAAGTTATTTAAATGAAATGAAATGTGAAGGCTTAAATCATTCAAGATTATGTCTAGATGGATGCAATGTACCTGTATATGAAAAAGAAAATGAAAATAGTAAAGGTGTACCTTCGGGTGCAAAATTTTGAGGGTACCAACAGGGACAATTTTGAGGGTACCAACAGGTATGACGGTAATCCTGATATGACTTCTTAAAGGTGCTAAAAAAATAAATGCTTAAATTAAAAGGGAATGGTTAATTTAAAAATAAAATTTTATAGTATGATTTATCAATAAATTGTATTTTCTTGCAACATTCATATATAGCATTTGCATTTTAATTTAATGCATAAAAAGATTGCAATTGTTCACTAAGTAGTGTAACTTAGAGCTCGTTTGGGGGCATTTTTGCTCTGCTTTTCGTTTTGAAAACCATCCGGTTGGCCTTTTGGGAGCCCTCTTTTCCGTTGCCTTTTGTCTTTGCATGTTGTATGAACAAAAAAAATCACGAATGACCCGAGCTGCCTCCGTTTCACGGTATGCGGTTTGGGCATGAAATTACTAACCTACCCCACTTAAGTTTGCTAAAGGACATCCTATTTTCCTCAATAATACCCCTGGCCCCCTCTCCCTCCATTCGACTTGTTTGAGGGCATATTTGTGATTCTTATTTGTGATTCTTATTCCCTTCTCCCCTCGGTTCGTCTTTGCTGATGTCGCATCTCTCTGTATGTATTGTTCAGCTTCCATTCTTTCTCGGTTATGCTCTGTGATGGTGGTTTAATACTGTGCGTTTTACGTATGTCCTTCCTCTATTATGCTTCTTGATTTTCCTTCTCTTGGTGGTTTGGTGTTTTTTGTTTGAGATTGTACATGTTGGCGCCAATATGACTTCTCTCGGTGGTTTTGGTGCTTGGTGTTTGAGATTGTAAATGATGGTGCTACTTTTTGTTTGAGATGGTTTGGTGGTTTGGTGCCTAAGGTGACATGTTGTCTGTTCTGTGATTTGATGGTATCTTGCTTTCTATTTTACCTTTTTTTCGCCCTGTTAAGCTTTTTGGTTTTCCTCTATGTTGGTTGTTTGGTGCTGATGGGGCTTCCATGTTGGTGTTTTCTTCCATGTAATGAATTTCTTTTTGGGGCATTTACATGCATACTATGCAACTCTTATGTATTTACATGTGTGATGTGCATGTGATGAATTTATTTTTACGTTGGTGGTTTGATGCTTGAGGTGGTGCTGTGCTAGAAGCAGTGCCGATGGGGCTTCCCTGTTACGTTGAGTTGGTGTTGATGAGGCTTCACTGCTATGTGGAGGTGGTGCCGATGGGGCTTCCTTGTTGGAAGTTTTCCTTGATTTGTGATGTGCATGTGATGAATATCTTTTTGAGGAATTTACATACATACCACTCAATTCTTACGTATTTACATATCAAACAACTAAACATTCACAGTTTTTTTAAAAGGTGAAACATATCTTGTCATGCATTGGATAACAACAGTGTTATAAGTGTAAAGGTCAAATTTTGGGTGTTAGGTACATAAACTTATAAAAATTGTGTAGCATGTATGCAACTCTCTCTTTTCTCTTCTATATTTTTTTTTATAAAATAATCCAATTGGAATCTAGTTAACCAACCTTTTGAGAGAACTGATATAAGATCCTCAACTTGTATATTGGACATGTTTCATGATGAACTCTAGCTTTCACTTTATTAGTCTCAAGTTCAAATATTTGAGCAATTTCTCAATCAATCTTCTCAAATACAAGTATATCACACTCTTGTTGTTTGATTTATGAAGTGCTGTTTAGAGGGGAATTTACATGCACATCACACAATTCTTATTTATGTGTTGTTGACGATTTGAGTGTTGATCTCTCTTGCCTATTGGCTGTGGGTGTGACTGTGTTTTGGTTGTCTTTGTTGGTTGTTGATTATGTATATGGTTATAATTTTGCAATGTTGGCTGTTGGAAGGGGTTGACTGTGATTTATGTTGTGACGTTCTTTGATTGTTTTGAAGTGTGTATTTTTTACGCATTGGGTTTTTGTAATTTTATGTAGTGCAATGATGAAAAGAAACATAAAGAGCTCAATCAATCCCCCATTGTCATTTATAAAATTTTCCCTGCCTATTTAATTGAAAATTTTGGATATTGGCAATGTAAGATAAATCCTTGGTGAAAATAAAAAATTTTGGGTTCAAAGTGTACCTATTTCCAAGAGAAGATGAAATTTGAACTTTTTTTGCCTTAAATTTGCCTGAAATCCAAGGAATAGTAAGCCCTATGAGCACAAACCGGAGGTTTAAGGTGACCAAAAGGGTAAAAAAGGTGTTTTTATTGTACAAATTGTGAATTTTAAGGGATTTGCGTACTTTCATATATTTATACATATATTTAAGGGATTTGTGTGTGTGTATATATATATATATCCCATGGGGGCACGAGCCTCCAATGCCCCCATAGCGGCTCTGCCCATGTTTGGAAGAAATAAAACCTCAGCTAACATGGAGGGCAAAGTCTGAAGATAAAGAGGGGAAATAAAAACCGTAACAGAGGAATAAACAGTCACTTAAGATCTTGAAATGTGGGACCTCAATCCTGTCACCCTGCAGTAAAAATGAAGGGTGTGGGGAGGGGATACAGCAACAGAGAACTCCTTTAAGTTGTTACAGAAAGCTACACTAGCCAATTTGCAGGCTGGTTTCCCTCTATGTAGATAAAAGTATATTGCACTTTTAACTGTGAAGAAATTTCTCTCATCTTTTTGGTCCAAAAAGCAAGGTGCCAGGGTGAAAGCTCCTCATCCTTCAGTATCTTGATTACAGCAGTAGAATCCACTTTTAACCATAAGTTGTACCAGCTAGACATTTTGGCAATTTTTAAAGCCCAATAGACAGCCACTAATTCAGTTTCAACAGCATCAGTAGCCACAATGGGGATGTGGAAGTATAATAAGCATTTCCCTAAGTGATTTCTGTAGACACCCCCAAAACCTGCTCCTAATTTATTGAAGCTTTCATCAGTATTTACCTTGACTGTGTAGTAACCAGGAGGTTTCCAGAGAAACCTATGAACATAATTCTTGTTTGGTTGTCCCAAAGAGTAAGAGTTAGAGATGTTAGAGATTTTGGGAAATCTTCTAAACTTAATCATTTTGTGAACATAGGAAAGGCTATTTCTGACTATCTTCTCAGTTTTTGGTGTACCTTCTTCAAACGTAGCCTTGTTTCTTTCCATCCAAGTAAACCATGCAACAATGAGAGGTATTGGAGCATAGAAGCATAGTTCCTCTTATTCCAAGACTGCCAGCAAGTTGTGATATTATCCCAAGTAAAGAGGTTTTTGTTAATATTCAAGTTGGCTAGCAGTTGGTGCCAGACAAGTTGTACAAAGTTACATCCAAAAAAAAGGTGGGGCAATGATTCCTCCTCCTTAATACAGTTGGCTAGCAGTTGGTGCCCCCTTATACCCTTTAGTTTAAGAATATCATTAGTAGGGAGGAGATTATTAAAGACCCTACACCAGAAAAAAGACATGGAGGGGGATAGAAAATTGCTCCAAATAATTTTGCTCCAGGGTAGGTGTTCCCATTGGAAAATTTTAGAGTAGATGGCTTTGGTAAGGCATTGATTTAAGAAAGACTGCCAAACAATTCTATCTTCTGTTAATTTTGATGCTCACAATTTTTGCTATAGAATTGACATGGAGAATTTCTGAAAGTTTAAGTAGAGACCAATCATCATCCACCCAACAGTCAGCCACCTTGAGGCCAGAGTTAGGGGTGCTAAAGATAGGAGACAACCAATCTTTATGGCACCAATTATCAAGCCAGAAATTTATGTCTCCTTTCCCCAAATCCCAAATGAACAGGTTTTCAGCAGTATGTATTATATTTAGCATCTTTCCCCAAATTTTGGAATCCCCTATTTTTCTTTCAACAAGTGTGGGGTCCTGATCTCTACAACATTTTCCCTTCATGAAAAGAGCCCATAGAGAATTCTGAGCTCTGAACTTAATCCAAAGCTTGCATAAGTTTATTTGGAAGAGCTAATTAATACCCTTGAAGCCAATACCCCCAGCCAGTTGAGGTTTGGCCACTTTTTGCCAAGAAGCCCAATGCATCTATTGCCTTTGTCCAGACCAAAGAAATCTGTTAAATGCCCTTTCAAGCCGAATTTGGGTGCTTTTTTAGATATTAGTCATCTGCAGGATATAAGAGGGAAAGGTAGTTAGAATGCTTTTAGTTAGAATGCTTTAGTAGTTAGAATGCATTTCAGCAGTGTAATTCTGCTCCCATTAGAAAGAAAGGAATGAGTCCACCCGTTAAGGTAGGTAGTGATCTTATTTATGAAAGGTTTTAAAAAAAAATAATTAAAAACAAAAGCATGGTCCCCAAATACTTGACAGGAAGCTGGGAGTTTGAGAAGCCAGTATAACTAGAAGCCCATTGTTTGCAATTTGGATTTGCATGTTTATTAAAAATCAACAGGCACTTCTCTGGACTGAAGCACATACCAGAGTGTGTTTGGAACTTTTGAAGAGTCTGATACACTTTCCTCAGAGCATTTTTATGAGCTCTAGAGAAGACCATGACATCATCAGCATAGATCAAGTGGGTGACGGCAAAGTTGGATCTATGATGATAGATAGTATAGTTTTGGCTTAGAAGAGAATTATCCAGTATTCTAGATAAATAGTCAATTGCAATAATAAATATAGTGGGGGATAAGGGGTCCCCTTGCTTCAAACCTCTGGAAGCAGTGAAAGACCCCCAGCCTTTGCCATTTATGAGAATATAATGATTATTATTGTGAATCCGTCTAAGAATTAGCTGGCAGAAGTCTGATTTGAAGCCTCTAGCAGTAAGAACATACATAATGGATCCCCAACTGATAGTATCATAGGCCTTTTTCAAATCTAATTTGTATATCAAATTACCACCTCTACAGGTCTTATTCAGATCATTCAGAAGCTTCTGTGCCAAGAGAGTGTTGTCAATAATAGATCTCCCCTTCAAAAATACTGTCTGATTGGGTTTAATGATGTGTTCAAGATGAGGTTGGAGTCTATTGATAGTGATTTTGCTGATCACTTTGCTGATTACAGTGGATAGACAAATAGGTCTGAAGTGATTCCAGGTGGTTTGTAGCTCAGATTTGGGGATCAGCACAAAAGTAGAAGCACTGAAGTACTGTGGGAGATTATTTCCTTGGAAAAAACTGGCAACAAAAGCAATCACCTCAGGTTTAATAATGTCCCAAGATTTCTTGTAAAACTCAGCTGTGAAACCATCAAGACCAGCTGCTTTGCTACTATCAATAGAAATAATAGCCTTCCATATCTCCTCTTCATCAAGGATGTCAGCAAGTTTTAAATTAGCAGTGTAATACTTCTCAGCATTAAAATAATCTGGATCAATAGGGCTTCTGGGATTGTTCTCTTGATTCAATAGATTTTTGAAATAGCTTACAGCATCATTAGCTATTTCAGCATTCTCATGAAGCCAATTCCCCTCAACAGTCTCAATAGCATGAATAGTATTACATTTCCTATTGTACTTTATGTAAGCATGGTAGAATTTGGTATTTCTATCCCCCTCCTTGAATATATTCATAGCAGCTTTTTGCTTCAGATATTGGTCTTGGTAATCAATAGGAGTAAGAAGTTTATTTTGAGCAGTTAACAGTTCTTTTTCCTCAACTAAGCCCTCCTGTTCAAGTTGCTCTAATCTCAATACTTCCTCCTCAAGCTCCTGCACATTGGTGAGGACATTCCCAAAAGTACCCCAAATCAAACTCCTCAGAACTTTAGCATTTTTGATATGTAATAATCTGAGATTGATAAGAGGGTCAGTGTGTGAAATCCCATTCCAAAGGTTGGCAATGTAAGAGTTGTAAGAAGGATGAGAAGACCACATGTTCAGATATCTAAATGGGGAAGGGGAAGGCATGTTATCTGAGGAGGTGATGCTGATAAGGATAGGTCTGTGGTTAGAACCAACAAGGCTAAAATGGGTAACAAAAGTGAAAAAGAAGTGGTTGTACCATCTGTCATTGACCAAACATCTATCAAGTCTTTCCCAGATTTTACCCCCTCTTCCAAGTAAAAGCAGGACCTTTAAAGCCCAAATCAAACAGCCCAGCCCTGTGAATATTATTAGTGAAAGTATTCATTTTAGTAAGGTTAGGAGCTCTACCCCCAATTTTTTTAGCAGGAGAGGCAATGCAGTTAAAATCTCCCCCCACAATCCAGAGGGAATCCATTAGCTGACTGATATTCAACAAGCAACTCCACAACTCCTTTCTGTCTTCCTTAGTACAACCTGCATAAGTAAAAGTAGCATAACCCACATGTCCATTTATGTTAAACTTAAAATGGAGAAATTGCTGATGATTAATAATGAAGTTCCATCTGATTTCTTTTCTACATAAAATCCAGATTTTATTATTGGTATTGGCGAAGTTATTGAATCCAGGGAATTTCTAGATAAGCTTTTGATGGTTTTTGTGAACCATAGGCTCGAGAATCACAATGCACCAAGGTTTATATTTATGATTTATATGTAAATTTCTCTTAAGATAGAGGGGATTGGCAATTGCCCTAATGTTCCAGCAAAGGATATTAATCATTTGTTGGATGGATTTGTAGGGATGGCTGTGATCTTGATCTGGTCTACCTTTATGATGGTGGGGAGAACCAATCTTAATACTTGCTTTACTCTCAACTTGTTTTGATCTTCCATGCTGTAGTTTTTGTACTTCATTTACTTGTTTTCTTTTCCTTCTAGCTGTTTGTACCTGCCAATCATCTTCTATTGCCTGTTTAATACCAGGAATAACATGATCTTCAGGTGTCTTGTCATGCATGTCTGTCTTTCCTTCCTCATGAGGGGAAGGTGAGGGAGTGATTATAGTAATTTCTTGGATTTCCTTTCTATCTATATTTATTGGAGAAGTCACTGTGTTACATTTTGTAGGGGAGCCTTCTGATGGCTTATCTAAAGGATCCTCAGATGAAGAGTGTACTTTAATGATTGAAGGTATTTCCTCAATTCTTTGAGTGTGATCCTTCCTGTTATGCAGATGTGATTCTTCAGCAAAGTTTTCTATGGCTTGCAGTAGGGTGTTTCTTGTTTCTTTATGATCCTTACCAGCATTTCTTTTGATTGGTCGATGTAATCTAGAGCATTTTTCCACTGTATGGCCAAACATTCTACAATGTTGGCAATAGTATGGTTTTTGTTCAGATACAATGTTCTGCACAGTATCTGAGCCAATCTAGATTCTTTTCAATTCAAGGAGGGTTATGTCTCTTTCCACTTGTATTCTGACCAGTGCTGGCCTGGCTTTGTTATAAGTAGGTGCATCCACTTTCAAAGGTGTACCTAGAGCTTCCCAGAGCTCTGTTCCCAGAGCTCTCCTTATGTTAAACAAGGCATTCAGCTTGAAGAAAGGAAGTGGAAGCCCAGGAAACGTATACCAAATAGGAACCACAGGTGGTCCTTTACTTGGATCAAAGTCAAGAGTCCATTTTACAATTTTCATAGTATCTCCAGCAATAATTATTTATTGCTTTGCAAAAAGTCTTGCATAATCTTCCTCAATAGCTAATTTGATCAGGAGATGCCTTCCATCCATCAGTCCTATCTTCCAATTACCAATAAATTTTAGAGATTCAAAGAAATTCCTAACCAGCTCCCCTTTTGGATGTCCCAACTGAAATTTCTCTATTAATGTAAACTTTACTTCTTCTTTAAGAGAGTTTAACTCTCTGTTTGTGAAGAACACAGCAGTTTCTCCCTCCTTGGATCCAAGTGGGTGGATGCAAGGACAACTTCCTTTACTTGTAGCAGTATCATGAAAATCTTGAGGGAAAACCAAATGATCTAGATCCTGTAGAACATCAGTAGAATTTCCAACAACCCCAGCATAGGTTTCCTTGGTCCAATGAGAGTCAGTAGCAATATCAAAAGGTGTAGTCATGGCTGAAACTACAGCAGAAAAAGGAGAAATCCCTTTCAGCACCAGAAAAGTGGGGAAGGAACTCCTGCAGCTATAGAGAAGCCAGAGAGGAAACCAATGGAATAGTAACACCACCCAACACTCACAAAAGTTCTCCACCACCACCAGTAAGAAAAACCTGAAAGGAAGTAACCACCACAAGCAACCACCTCTGAGTTCTCCTTCAGTCAGCAACCACCAAACCTCATCCTTTCCGAAACCCTAGCAGAGCATCTCCCTCCTCAGCCGCCATCATATATATTTGAGATCTTAGGAATGGGAAAGTTCATTTCTGGTTGGACCGGTGGTGTCCACAGGAATTACTGCCTACCCAAGGGTTTCTGGTAGGATGAAGCTTTGCTGCTGCTAGATGGAGGGTGAAGTTTCTGCAAAAACTCTTAAGACACTCTTGTCTGCTTGGTTGATCCTTGGAGGACTGTTTTTCTCTTGTTTTTGTCGTTGGTTTTCTGTATGTTTACTGTTTCATTGTCCTTTACTGGTTGGTCTGCTTTTGTCTTTGTGTGAGGTCTCTTATGGCCCTTACTCTTGCTGGGGGAAGTTTGCCAATCCACCTTTGTTGATTTCTTGGAGTGTTTTGGCCACCCAGACATTCTTTTACTTGGAGCTCACTTTGACTCACTCGTGCCCTGACGCTGTGGTGCATCAATCATTTTTTCTTTATGGCTACTCCTATGATATTGTGACTGATGCTTTGTGTGCTAAGGCCACTTATCTTGGTGTGATGGGTAAATCTGTTGTTACCCTCAGTGATCCTGACCACTTAATTTTCCCTCAAGATTTCCATGATACTGCTTCTAGGAGGGGAAGTTGCCCTTTCATTCACCCTTTAGGTATGAAGGAGGGTGAACCTGCTATTTTCTTTTCCACACAAGAATTATAGAATCTGAATGAGCAAGTGAAATTCACTTTAGTGGGCAAATTCCAACTTGGCCATCCAAAAATGGAATTAGTCAGACACTTCTTTGACTCTCTAAAATTTAATGGAGATTGACAGATTGGAATACTTGAAGGTAGACACTTGCTTATCCAACTTTTAGGTGAAGAAGACTATGCAAGATTGTTTACAAAACAATCCCTTCAGATAGGAGGAACCACCATGAAGATTTTGAAGTGGGAGCCTGGATTTGATCCTAGCAAGGAGCCACCTGTGGTTCCCCTTTGGTTTAAATTTCCTGGCCTTCTACTTCAGTATTTTAACCTTAATGCTCTTTTCAATATTCGATGTGCACTTGGGAGAACTTTGAAGGTTGATTCCCCCACATATAATAAAGCAAGAACAGCTCTAGCTAGAATCCTCATTGAAAAGGATTTTACTCTCCCTGAAATTAAAAGCCTTTGGATTGGCTCTAATACAGATGGGTTCTGGCAGGATGTGGTATTAGAATAGAAACCTTATTGTTTCCACCAATTTCAAGATGTTTGGACACACCAAAAATAGATGTTTCAGGCTTCACCACCCTCCAAAGAAAAATGTGCACATTCAGGAAAAGCTTAGTCAGTCTATTGCTTATGATCCCACACTATGTGTGGAACCAACTCCAACAGCCAACAAGGAAGATATATTGGGAAAATCAAAAAGCTCTACAGCTCCTTTTGACTCCAATGCTCCAATAAGCACATCCCCAAGATACTTTAGGGAGGAGTTAAATGAAATTAACATTATTACCCCACTTAACTCAAATGACTCCCATAGTGGAGTTGAGACAACCAGAAAGGAAAACCAGACTGAAAAATACTGCTTGTGAAGCCCTTGAGAAGAGGGGAATGGCTGAGATGAAGCTACTATTGGAGGAGGAATGGCAAATCCAAAAATCAAAGAAAAAGAAAAAACAACTTTCAAAAGTTTAGAAACTAAAAGTGTGGACCAATGCGAGCACTGGTGTCTTGAAGATGGTTGGGCCTTCTCCATCTAGAGGAAGGACCAATCCAAATCTCAACCCTTCCGCCATATCAATCCCCCCCATGATTAATTTATTGTGTTGGAACACAAGGGGCATTGCCCATGCTCAGTCCTTAAATAGACTGATCCTTCTTATCAAAAAAATACAATATTTGGTGTTTTTCCATTTTAGAACCTATGGTTCAACAAAACCCTAAGAGAATCATTAATAAGTTCAAAGGTTTTTCTCATTATGCAAATAAAAGTAACAAGATTTGGTTTTTTTTGCAGGAAAGAAATTCAGTGGCATACCCTTTTGGACCACCCACAGTTCATACATGTTTCTCTCCTAATTCAAGGCCAGTTAGAATTTGAAAACTTCATCTATGCAGGCAGTCACAAAGAGGACAGACAAGAACTTTGGAGGTTCTTACAAAAAATCAATTATAATATGAACTCTCCTTGGTTGTTTGGGAGAGATTTCAATTGCATTACATCAGCTGCTGAGAAGTTTGGGGGGAGAGTCCCTAATGCTTCCAAAATGACTATCTTCAGTGACCAGATTCAGAAAGCTTGTCAATTTGATTTGGGTTGTAAGGGTCCTAAGTTTACCTGAAGGAGGGGCAAAATGTGGGAAAGACTTGACAGGGTAGTAGTGAATGACTGCTGGCACAAAAATTATCTTCTCACCTTTGTTACTCTCTTAACCATCACTGGTTCTGATCATATGCCTCTTCTTATATCTATTACATCCCTTAGCAATACCACTCATCATACCCCTTTTAGATATTTAAATATGTGGTCCACTCACCCTCTTTTTGACTATTGTGTTGCCTCCAATTGGGGTGGTTTTGACCATACTGAGCCTCTAACAAAACTTAGACTCCTACATTTTAAACTGAGCAAAGCTTTATGGAAGTGTGGATGGGAGACTTTTGGGAATGTCTTCTCTAATACCTCTGATGCTGAAAGGCAAGTGGAGAAATTAGAAATTGCTATTCAGAATGATACTGCCACAGAGCCTGAAATGCTTACTGCTCAAGCTAAACTGCTTAATGCTATTGATAAACAGGATTTGTTACTTAAATAGAAGGCTTCTATAAGCATCTTTACTGATGCGGACAAGAACACAAAATTTTTTCATGCTTACATTGAATACAAGAGAAAGTGCAACACTATTCATTCCATTCACACATCTGAAGGAAGTTGGCTTAATGATAATGAGCAAATTGCTATGGATGCTGTCAATTACTATAAAACCTTGTTAAACACTTCTGTAGACCTCAATACTGATCTTGACTACAACTACTTCACTGAAAAAGAATTTGAATACACTAACCAACTCAGACTCACTGAAATCCCGACTGAGACTAAAATTTGGGAAGCTCTAAAATCCATTGACAACACTAAATCTGCTGGCCCAGATGGGTATACTACTGATTTCTACAAAAAAAGCTTGACATATTATTAAAGGGGAGGTGATTGAGGCAATCAGAAGCTTGTTTAGGGCCAGTAACTTACCTAGCTATTTTAAAGATTCTTCTATTGTGTTAATTCCCAAAGAGGATCTACAAAAGAATTGGGACCATTACAGACCTATCCGCCTAACTTCAGTATTTAACAAACTCATTAATAAGATCATTGTTAGAAGACTACAACCTCACCTTGATAAGATTATCTGCCCAAATCAAACAGCCTTTACTAAAGGAAGATCTATCACTGATAATGTGCTGCTGGCTCAAAAGTTGAATTTGGATTTGGATAAAATCAGTAGGGGCAATCTTATCTATAAATTTGATATCAAGAAGACGTATGACCCAATTAATTAGTGATGTAACCTGGGGATTCTTACTGTCAGGGGGTTTCAATCTGATTTCTGCAACCTTATTCATAGGTGGCTTATTAATAATAATCATCTGTCCTAATCAATGGCAAGGCCTGGGGTTCATTTTCAGCTACTAGAGGTCTTAAGTAGGGAAACCCTCTCTCCCCCATAATCTTTACTTTAGCTATGGACTACTTTTCCAGAATGCTAGACAAGATTCTCAATCACAGATATCATCACAAATCTACAATGGCTATATCTCATCTCATTTATGCTGATGATATCATGATCTTCTCTAGTGTCCATAAAAATGCAGTCAATAGAATTCATCAATATTTGATGCAGTTCCTAAGAAACTCTGGGATGGTGTTTTGCCGAGAAAAATGCAAACTAATTCTTAACAAAAGATCGTCATCCATTTGAAAACAGTGCGTATCTGAACACACAAGTTTTTCTATTGCAAATGACCAATTTAAATACCTGGGGGTTCAACTCATTTGGGGGAGGTCCAAATTAATCCAATTTGATGAAGTCTTTCAAAAGATTCAAAACCTTTTATCTAGTTGGTCTCACTCATTCCTATCCAATGGGGGCAGAATCACTCTTCTCAAGAGCATTTTTACTATCTTCCCATATTACATTCTCCAAACCACATACATGAAGAAAAGTACTAAAATTCAGTTGGAAAGAGTATTCAACAAGTTTTTATGGGCAGGTCAAAGGCTGCTCCACTGGGCATCTTGGCAAAAGGCTGCTAAACCCACCATGGCTGGTGGAATTGGTTTCAAGGGAGTCCAACAACTCATCCAAATCAACTTC